GGGCCGGTGCTGGGGCCAGGGCACATGCGGCGCACCCGGGGCCGGGACCGGCCATGTGTCCGGGGATGGCACCTGCCGCACGCCCAGGGGCAGGGCCAGCCCAGATTGCTCTGCGGGCGCATGTAAAGATCCCGGCGGGCGCCATGGCGCCCGCGGGCACCGGGTTGGGGACCACGGCTTTAGCAGAAAACCAGAACAAGAAAAGAATGAAGGGGAAAAAAAAGATGAAAACTGTGGTTCTTGCACAAGGTAACATGACTCCACCATGTATTAAGCTGTAGAAGCTGCAGAAACCATTTTATGTTTAGCTAGAAGCCATCTTGTATAACAGAAACCATTTCAGCTTTTAGCCTTTGCACGTAAACCAAAGTAAACTTTCTATCACCCCATGTGCCAGGCCAAAACATGTATGCTATTAAAATGTGTTAATTGGGCTGGTTTAAACAGAAGAGGTAGTCCCTCGTACCTGTCCGCCATCTTGTTAATAAGGCTTTGTTTTTCCTAGTTTAATTAATTATTTCTGTAATTGGATCCCCTAACATCAAACTGTTTGGTTAAGGGTATAAAAATACTAGAATTAATTGTATTAGCCAGCCTCTCTGGCCCCGGCTTTGCTGGGACCACATTTGGCTCACTTTGCTTTTATTGGCCAATAAAACTGTGTTTAGCCGCGTAAACTAAGTAAAGTCTTTGCTTCTACAATGCTAAATAACAACCCTCTGGAAGTGGTTCTGAAGTTCTGCTACTTAGGTTCAACCATAACTAGCAACTTGTCATTAGATACATGGAGCTGTACCTACTGCAGCCGAACATGCCTTTTTCGTATTGGTTTATTGAGCCACACAAAACATTGCAAAAAGCGACCCGTTTAATGCTGCATCCCACCGTCTTTCAAGACGTATGGAGGCCATGATGATGACTTTATTAATACTGGTAGGAAAAAACCTATGTGGATGGAACCCAGTAGAATCAGGCAACCCTGCGCTTGGGCAACGGTAAACAAAAGGTCTTGCAGGCCACACATAGAACCCCAAAGGGCCACAAGTTGCCCATCACTGTTGTACTGAGCCTAGCCAAAGCCTTTTTTGGAAATCTCCCATCATTGCACTGCACTGAGCTCAGCTCCAGCAAGAGAGTAGCATCACGTCATCTGAACCTGCTCAGAGCAGAGTTGGATGATAACTAATGGCGAAAGACTCCCCAGTCTTGCCTAAAGTAGTTTCCTGCCATTACTACCACCAGCACAGCTCCACCAAAGCTAATGCATGGGTGGGAGATTTCCCACCGGCTAGCGTGGACTGCCTAGCAGCAAGCTATTCAAGGTCAGACAATGCAGCGCTCACTTGCAGGCAGATGGACATACTCTGGCTATGTCTAGACTGCAAGCCTCTTTCAAAAGAGGCTTTTTCGAAAGTATCTTTCAAAAAAGCCTCTTTCGAAAAAGACCATCTAAACTACAACCAGTACTTTCAAAAAAGCACCCAGGCAATCTGAATGCTCTCTTTTGAAAAAGCAGTTTGCATTACATAGCGTAAAATGAGGCTATCCGCGGTCAAAAAAACCTGCCACGTTCTTTTGATTAACTTTTGAAAGAACGCAGCTGCAGTCTAGACGTAAGTAAAGATTTTTCAAAAAGAAGCCACTTTTTTCGAAAAAATCACTGTAATCTAGACACACCCTCTATGTGCTTTGGGGGAGGCAAGGAGGAAGAAAGAGAACAAGTAAGTGAGAGAACTACAGACACAGGGCAGGAAGGTTAAGAGACACTTCAGGGGAAGAGAGAGGGGGATGGAGCCTAGGAGAGATGGTGGGAAAGGGGGAGCGGGCACTGAAAAAGGCAAGTGAAGACAGAAAAAGCATTTGGAGACAAAAGATGGAAAGAGTTTTAATGTTAGGAGAATTATATTTGCACCCTTAATCCCCATCTGGCTTATGTGGCTGCAATTCAAATACCATTTCCAGAGAGGAGGAGCAAAGGAATTGGATATCTGGTATAGGCCTAGTAGAAGTGACTAAGCAATGGGCCAGACACCACACTCCTGAGCAGATGTGGCAAAAAGTGAAATGCAAGCACACAGCAAAATGAAAGAAATAGGAACTAGATACTTAGGGTAAAGTCCCACTGGGAGTTTTACATTTTTTTTTAAATCCAGTAAATCACTGCACCATGTTTGTAGGCCAGTCTAAGACATGGACAACTGAAAACATACAAAACCCACAGTGAACAAAATAAAGCACATTATTAGCTTGTTTTTGCAAAGTTTGCAGTGGAGGAGCAAGGATGTGTCTCTTCTAGTCCTTGGACAGAATAGGAGAAACACAAGAATGCTTATATTTCCAGCAATGAAAGGGGATGGTGTTGCTTAAACCACAGGGGGAAATACTACATTTCTGTACCTCCAAAAGGGAATGAGGTGCCCAAATTCCATTTGAATTCCAATGGGATTTGGGAATCTAATGACCAATTACCCATAACCAACAGACTATATCCTAATCCAGTCCTCCCTGCAAGACAGAGCTAAAAGCATTGGCATCCCAGCTACAGGGTTGCCCAAAGCAAGACCCAAGCACTTCAATACTTTTTGTATTTACCTTATAAGCCATGGGCTGTACATCAATTTCATCCTCAGATTAAAAGGTGCAGCTTGACTCCAGTGTCACTGACAATTCTTGCCAGACTACTAGTTGTATCACGGCAGGTCACCTGAGATGCCATGGGCTCAACCCCACAGTTCCCACACAGGCAGCAAACTCTGTTTAAGACCATGGGAACCATCTCTTCAAAATTGCAAGGTCAGGCCTCAACTCTGCTCAGTGAATCCAAGCTAGAGATGGAGACGCCACCTCTCCCATTCCCATGCCTCAGCTCGACCAGGGACTCTTCTCTACTGTGCATCATTCATCAGAGTGATAAATTAAGCTCCAGGCTGCTCTAGGATATGGAATTTCACCTTGTCTGAACACAGCTGCCAACAATGGAGTTAGAGAACAATGCCGAGCATGTTGTAATGGGCAGCAGAGAACAAGACAAATGGTGTCAGCTACCCGTGATTGCACTTTGTGGGGTAGCCAAAGCAGCTTCCTGCTCTGCTACAGTGATAGAGATGTGGGTGTTTCAGTCTGAGGTTGCAGAAGCAGTTCTGTATTCAGGTATTGTGAAGAAAATCTCTTTGAAGTTGCCTTCGTCACACTAGGCAGCTTAATGCCTATAGAGAAGTTCCCTGGAGGGTCTATTCAGCGAGTAGATATTTTCATTTACACTGACTAAATCTGTTCAGCACCCTGAGAACCAACACCATTCGCAGACAGTAAAATGGTGTGGTGGTAAAGAGAGCCGGAGACAGGGTAGCAACACTAGCACTTCTCTCAGGTTCTACAAGTGGCAGTGATTTCAGTAAGTAACATGTGGTGCAAGGCAACTTCTGGGGAAAACACAAGCCTAGTAGGCATTCTGCCAGCACAGCAGCAGCACAGACTAAATGCTGATGGGCCACCACCCCATTCCCAGGTATCTTACTTTGTGTGTCAGGGTAGCACCTAAGGCTCTCAAAGCAGCAGAGGAAAGGGACACAGAAGGGAAGGAGGGTGGGTAGAGGAGCACTCAGAGGGACAGCACAACCATCTCAGCTAAGACACTACCAACACTTATTTCAGAGAGTCTCTGCCCCAAAGAGCTTACAACTTGTAATCTGGGAAATCGTACAACTGAAAACTCCACACTGAAGGTCAGATCTTTTCTTTCACAGTCCTGTCTGCCAAACCGGAGCTAGGGAGGAAAATAAACCAAGGCCTATGCTTTGTGTGGGAGCTGCCACACAATTAATCACTCAGCAGCACTATGTGCCGCCGTGGGGTGGCTTGGGTACTGCTGTCCAGCAGGATAGCGTGAGTGACCTGAAAGCTGGCCTTGCCAAAGAATGGGCACAGGGCTTCCCAGCTGCTTCTGCATGAGTAGACTTACATACCTACAGAAAGACAAATTGCCATCCTTACTGTAGCAGAGCAGAGCGGTGTCCTCTTTGCAGTGCTGTAGGAGTTGTTGATGTTACCGTGACAGGAGGGGAAAAAAAAAAAGTCAGACATTGGCACGTAGAGGAGAAAAACAGATTTTCAACAACAGTATCACTGATTCTCCTGATGACTGTTTGGAAGAGTCAGGAGAGCCTGCCAGGACTGATGCATGTGTTTTATCCTATACAACAGGCATTAACTCATGGCCCTTGTACAACAAGGAATCTGTTTCCACATGGACAGGATGAGAAAGTTGCTGCTATCGAGAAGGCCTGTTGTACAATGGAAAGAGCTAGATAAATTCATGGAGGCTAGGTCCATCAACAGCTATTAGCCAGGATGGGTAGGAATAGTGTCCCTAGCCTCTGTCAGTGGCTGAGAACGGGTGACAGGAGAGGGATTGCTTGATGATTCCCTGTTCTGTTCCTTCCCTCTGGAGCATCTGGCATTGGCCATTGTGGGAAGACAGGATCCTGGGCTAGATGGATCTGTGGTCTGACCCAGTCTGGCCGTTCTTCTGTTCTTATGGGTAGAGCAGGAAACCAAATTTGAGACTCCTCATTTTTGACTTACCTCTGACTGTATGACACACCAAGTCATCCAAACCTTTCCATAAAATGGGGATAACACCTACTAACTTGGTAGGGGAGGGGAGAAACAGAAGGTTTCAAAGCTCAAATCTGATGTCTGAGAGGAGCTGTGAGAACAAAGTAGATAGGAAGAGCCACCGGCGGTTTGAACATTCTGACCACAGAATGGTTATCAAAAGATTCGCTCTTTATTTTTTTAACATAAAAAGAAACATGACATAGCATCATTAGAACCACTCCATTCCTGCATTCCAGAATTGTGCCAAACACCTTATTTCATACCTTCTACAAATTCCTGTCCATTTCATTAAGTGATTTTCAAGCAATGCCTGGTTCAGAGCCCAGCAGAATTTCCTTACTGTAACTGAGTAAAAAACATGTGGCAAAGGGAACAGAGTAAGATCGGCCGGAGCCCTTAGCATACTTGGCTACTGGTTTCAATCCCAGGAGGTGCAGCTTCGATGGTACTGAAGTCATCCAAGCCCCATGTGGCTTAATCCTTAACACCCTCTGCTACCGACCACTCCTAACACACACAAGTTGTTACACGGAGTTAAAAAAAAAATCATGACAAAAAAGTGACTAAGACACACAATTTTTCTAGCTAGGGAGGAGATTCCTATTATATAAAAAGAGAGGAGAATACAAAATTGGCACACTTGGAAGGAAGCCTGCTGGGAAACTACTGTCCCAAGGATTGCAGCCTTCAAAAATACAGCAACAACAGGGGTTAAAGGGGATGGAGCACCACCTCCCATAGGCCTAGCAGCCATGCAATCTAGTGGCCAACTCCTTTTACTAGGAACAGCAAGGAGATGTGTTATGATCTATGATGGAAGAGGTTGCTCACCTTGTGCAGTACCTGTAGTTCTTCAGGGTTTAAGTCTCTATGGATCCTTCACTGAGGTGTGCCCCATATGGAGATTTACATGAGCAGTGTCCGTTCAGCCCTGCGCTGAGGCTGTATCAGGCTACACGGATGAACTGCCCCATCAGTGTCTTCTGCGCTACTGAATCTCAGAGGAAATTGACACAGAAGGGAAGGAGGGTGGTAGAGGAGCACTCATAGGGGGACACATCTCAAAGAAGCAAAGTTACTACCACAGGGTGAGTAATCTTGTCTTTGAGTAGTCTCCATAGGGGTTCTCCGCTTTTGGTCACTCCTGAGCAGTATCCCCTCCCTAGCACAGGGAGCTTAGAATTGGAATCCATCACTGAAGACAGAACTGCACTGCAAATAGCTGCATCTGTGCCTAGAGAAGCTATATAACTGAAGACCATGTGACAGCTCTGTAGATTTCTGAAAAGGGAACATTGTTAAGGAGAGCCAGAGATGTAGATAGCAATTTAGTCAAATGCAGCAACATGCCAATGGCAGTGGAATGTCAACCCGCAGAAATAGATTTAGAGAGCATCTCCAGGTAGAAATTGGCAGCACTCTATTTCAGATGCAGACAGGTTAAAAACAGCCTATTAGATTTGCAAAATGGCGTAGTTCTGTTCAGACAGAAGGATAGTGACCTCCTGACATCCAGAGCATGGAGAACATTCCCCCATTGGAAGTATATGGCTTGAAAAAAAAAAAACCCTGATAGGTATATGCTCTGATTCAGGTGGAATTCAGGTGAAATTCACAGGTTATTTTAGGCAGAAACCTGAGATGTGGCCGTAAGGACACCTTATCCTTGTGGAACATTATGGGGGGGAGGGGCGAGGGGCAGGCATCTGCTATTAAGGCCCCAATAGCTCTGACTCTGCAAGCTGAGGTAATGGTAGGTACTAGGAAGGCTCTTTTTCCTCAATAAATTCAATCAGGAGCAGGTCACCCTTGGTTCAAAAGGGAGCTGTGGGAGGCTTTTGGGAACTAAGTTCAGGCCCCACACAAGACCTGCGGGAAGAGGATCCCCAGGTTTTTCATGACTCTCACAAGTGTGGGGTGAGCAAACAGAAAAGTCTTAAGATTGGACTCCATCCTCTATAATGAAAAACATTCTTTTTTTAAAAATTAAAATACTTATCTAACTACTACTAAAACCAAAACCAGCCAACTAGAGAGAAACTCTGTAACCGATGAGTTAGGCAAGAGGCGGATATGCTAACACCATGGTGCCAATGCAGCTCAGAAAGAATGGAGGGGCTGGTTCATTTGTGTAGCCTGATACAGATTGGTTGCGGGGCAAAAGGATCTCAATACCGGATTGAACATGGCTCATGAGAGTCTCACAAACACACACAATGGAGCACCCACAGTGACACTACTTGAAGAAAGAGGTTGATGATAGCTAAGGACATGGAGACCCCCCTCACTAACAGGCAAGCAAATCCTCCTAACCCCCCAGTCAAAATAACCCTGAGTTTCTTTCTGCAGGGAGAAAATGCCAATATGAAGCGTATGCTTCAGAGAAGCTGCCATTCCCTGCTTGTTCATTCCATATTACTGCATTCCAAGCCAATTCCGTTTCCCCCAAACATAACTGACAGCAATGGAGATGAGGGTTAAACCTGAAAGGAGAGCGAGTGACTTGTGCTTTAACTAACTGATCTCCCCCCCCAGTCCCCCCCGCAGCAGACACACATGCTAAAAGAAATGGCAAAGATGTGAGGAAAGCAAATATTAAAGCAGGAAAGATGAGTTATTCAGCTGTGTATGGGAAAGAGCATCAATGCAAACTCGGTGCTTCACATGCCCAGCAAGCAATGCCTCAGCGGTAAAGCAGAGCAGGAGAGAACATACATTCTGTGGTGGTTCCAGAAGAGGAAGGGATCCTGCTTTAGCAAATTGGCTCCTGGGCTTTCTTCTTTCTGAAGAGCATAAAGGCAAGTTCGTACAATGTACACACAGGGAATTCATGTGCCTTGATGGCTGTGCATCCCTCCCCAGACAGCTTCTCACTGCACCTGCCTTCAGATTCAGCAAGGGCACTGAAGCATGTTGCGTAGTTGCAAAAAAAAAAAAAAAAAGCTATCTATTGGGAAGGCTTCTGAGAAGATTCAGGCCAAGATTTCCCAGTGGTGACCAGTGATTTTAGGGCCTCCATTTCTGGATGACCATGTCAGACATCATAAGGGGGCCAAATTAAAAAAAAAAAAGTGCTGCGCACTCACTCTTTGTAAAGTTGGGCTGTTTCTGAAACACACCCACCCAAAATAAACAGTCACAGGTGAAAAAATCTTAGCCGCAGTCCCTCTTAGGGAAAACATCTTGTGCCAATACTGGGGGAAAAAAATCAAGACAAAGGTAAATGAATGTGAACATCTTCAATCAATGCAGTTTGCAGTGATTACAATAAAACCAAGTCAAAGACTTCACTGGGACAGTTGTGAAATGAAGTCATGTTAATAACAAGGACAGAGCTACTAGTCAGAGAGATTACCTAGAAAATACTGAAAGCCTAGATGGTTAACAGTACAGCAGGGCCTCTAACTTTTACAGAGGGTTTAATCTATCACTGGTTCTTTTTTCCTAAAGCATAATGGAGCAGGATGGAGCACTGGCCATTATTCAATTTCCCATCTTTGTTGATATTAGCCAAACCCTGGATATGGTATCAGAATATTTCTTTTGTACACATTTGACTTTTATTGCTTAAAAACACCAGCTGTGCTAGGAGAACAGAGCTGCCCGGATAGCTGAGAGCAGCTCCTTAGGAGCCATGCCAGGGGAACGTGGAAGACCTGGGCTGGGCTTTCATACTATAGCACCTATGAATATGCCTCAACAGCCCCCCGGAGAGATCCACCCCCATGCAGTGGCCAGCAATGGAGAGAACCCATTGAAAGACAGGGATCACTGAATGTACAAAAAGACAGAGGTTTGTAAAATACAAACTCCCTCCCCCACGATGGCCTGATTTCATACCCGTGCTGAGTCACCATTTGGCTATTGTCAATCACAGACACTCTGCAGCCAAACTGGATATTGCAGAGATTTGTGTTAGGAAGGAAACAAAATGGAAATGACTTTAGAACTTGCTGTGTATAAGTAACAGCTGTTTCCTACATCCTTTCCAGCCAAACACCCATTGGCCACATACCTCCACACACCTGAAAAAATCTCCACCTTCTTCCTAAAGCCCATTGCCACCGCCATGACTGTGAACTAATGCTTTGCTGGCAGTCTCAGCAGAGAGGCCATGGAGATGGAACTCACCACTCAAGGAGAGCAGTGCTTCCTGTGGGTCAGAGTTGAGGCAGGGTGGGAGGGGTTGTGGTGGGAAGGAAGGCCTGCACTATGAAGTACTTGGTCTGAGCATTCAGTCTCTAGGGCTGCCAAGCTCACCCTTTTCACTAGAACAAAATACCAACTTAAAAGGTTTGGTTTTTTTTTTTTTTATAAAAAAGAAAAAGATTAAAAAAATTCTCTCAAGCAGACACATCAATATACGTGTAACTCTGCTGAGAAAGGCAACCCCCCTGAAAATCGGGGAAGAGAGGGCACCTTGACAACCAAAAACCTGCTCTTGACTACAGCACTCTCACCGGACAAGTACTAGCTTCCTTCCCAGCACTGGACATGTGAACAAAACTCTAGGAACAGGTCAGCTAATTGTATAAAAGGCAAAATATTTCTTCCAAGCTCAGCCCATCACAATACACACCCCTCCCAACAACGTTAACACACAAAGAGAGATCCTAAAAACAAGACAAAAGGATTTAAACAGTGAATCTTGTCTGAAGGCTGCTGAACAGTTTGCGTGTCAGAAGAAAATATCCCCACAATAAATGTCCCTGGAAGAAGAGCTCTGTGCTGGTACACACGGCCTGTGCTCTCAGAACTTAGCATGTGGATAGGAGAAGCTTTAGGTCCTGGCTTAGATCAGAGAAAGAGATACTGTCCATTGGGTGTTTGTGTGTCACACACCTCAGCCTCAGGCCATCTCCCCCAATCTGTCCCGAAACGTGCATAATGTCATTCCCACACTCAGTCCATCTCCATAGACATTAGCCGGCGTCGCTCCCGTCGGGTTTCTTGAACTTCCTTTTTGCAACACCATTGGGAACTGCAGTAGCCAATGAGGCAGGATAAGAGTCCGATGATGGTGGCTAGACCAATGCCTATCAACAGTGGGTACTTCAAAGCATTCAGCACTAGAAAGGGAGGAGGGAAAAAATAAAAATAAAAATGATTAAATACAGTGTACAAATGCCAAACATGATTGCTTTGCCTAAGAAAGGTAAAATGCACGTCAGCCAGGGACAGATGAAACCATTCAAAAAGCAAGTCTAGTTCCCCTTCCTCATTATGAAGGTTCTGAAAGCTCTCACCTCCTCCTCTGTTTTGCCTCCATAATTCTCACATCCAAAATGAAACAGAAAGAGCAGGATGCAAAATCTCATAAAGGCATGTCTTATCTCACTGTGAGATTAACAGCTCCAATAGGACAGATTCCAAAGGTTAAGCTAGTTCTGAGCAGCATCAACATTTTGGATGCTTGTTCGAACCAAATTCATCCACCAAACATTTAAACAAAGCCGGATGGAAACCCATTTTTTTTAATAAAGCTTCCAAGTGACAAAGCAAGGGTTCTGACTTTTTGAAGGACTGTGTACATAGATTTAGAGCTGCTTAAGAAGCAATTTCACGCTAGCCACCCAGTAGTTTCCAGTTAAGTCCATATTCAGGTGCTCAAAGAGGTAACTGGCTTTTCAGAAGTTCTGAATGCCCTGCCGTTTAGTGAAATGGATGGCTTGGAATGAGAATTTTCAGTGAATTATATAAATCAACCCAAGAGGCACACTGCTCCAGGAAGCTCATGCAGATTCTGACTCAATTGAAGCTCGTTCTACGGTTGGTATGGCCAAGCAATATGAATTGTAGAATTAGCTCCACCATGTGGGGCATTTGAAAAGGACAATTTGTCCCCTGGGTAACTATCTGCATGGAGGGCAGAATAAAGACTTATGCTTCTTTTCATGTTCTTTGGGGCTCACAGACGTTTCTTCAGATTCTGGGAAGGAAGCCACTTTGGTAAGTGCTTTGCATGCAATGCTTCTTAGACTATCACTCACTACAGTTTAACTATATGCTGGATGTAAGCACCTCATGTTAAAGTACATGCAGCAGTTACCAAAATTAGTTTCTCACAGGTTAGCTGACTCAAGAGCTGTGTGCAACTTCCAGAAAGGGCTGAAACATAGGTCAAGAGCCATGAGCACAGGGAGCAGAATACCTTGTATTGACAGCAGGGGATTTGAGTCAGATTCCTGGGTTCTGTTATTGATTTTGATATGAATTGCATGATAGTTCATCGTGCCTCAGGTACCCATCTGAAAAATGTGGCTAAGGCCTGGTGTACAACATAAAGTTAAGGCAACTTAGTTCTTTGTTGACAGCAATGGCACCTCTCTGAAAGGTTACATACTGTAGTCAGTGACAGCATAGACACTGTGCCCTGTCAAACCTAACAGTCCTCCAGTAGCTATCCCACAATGCCAGACAGTGGCTGCTCTGGTCACAGCTGTGAACTCTACTGCCTCAACAGCAGATGCCAGCCCTTTTCCTGTAAAACCCATACACACTTTTGTAATGCCTTTTCTTGATTATTCAGCTTGGCCAAGCACACCTAGCAGGTCTCCACTGCTGTACCCAGATGCCCAGCCAACTATTCCAGTTCTAGACATGCGCCTTCTTGGAGTAAACAGGAGACACTGGATCTTCTGGGCCTGTGGAGAAAAGAGGCTGTACAGACACAGCTTTGGACCACTCATAGAAATGTGGACATCTATGAAAAGACTGCACAGGGGATGCAGATGAAGGAGTATGACGGATCAGTAGCGGTGCCGCACGGAAGCAATGGAACTGTAGTAGGTATATAATGTGACCAGGCAGCAGATATTCCGCTTTTACAATGAGCTGCAGGCCATGTTTAGCCAAGTCTCCACACACATCCTGCAGATCACCATGAATACCCAGACAGAGACCCTGGCTGTGAACAGTGGGGAGGAGGGAGATGAAGCAGGAGGCTCTGCTGTGCCACGAACCAGGATCTTGGAGATGCCACCATCAGCTGGCCAGTCCCACCAGCCAAGCACAAATGAGGCTGATCCAATAGAAGGAACCTGAGGGTAAAGTAGTGCACACATTCTCCTTTCACGTGTTTCAACGCGGAGATGGCACCTGGCCCAAACCCAAGATAGCAGGACACAGGTGTCTCCCTTTCACTGTTCTACTTGAACAAGAAGAGGAAGAGGTATGTGAAGGGGTGGCCCCGCCCCGCACTCAAGCCCAGGGAAACCACCTGGGGCCAGGGGCGGAGGAGGCCCCACCCACACAGCCCTACTGGGCATGCTCCAAAGGGAGCAGAGGTACAAAAGGCTGCTGGCCTGCTCAGAAAGGGCAGACTGCAGCCCGAGCAGGAGCTAGCGACCACTGGCCAGAGAGGGAGTCGCCGAGGGAGCCGAGCGTGCTGCTGCCGGACCTCCGCCGGGCTCGGCCCCAACGCCGGAGCCGCCGACCGACCCCCCCGTGACCCGAGCACCGGACCGGACTCCACCAACTCTGCGGCTGCCAGGGGGAGTACCACTACAGCCAGTCGACCGACGCCAACAGGTGGGAGGAAGCGACCCAGGGCAGGGAGCTGTAGAAGCCCCTGAGGGCTCGGGGCGTTGCGGGGAGGAGCCCCCGCCGAGCCAGTGGTGGGAACCACCCGAAACTACTAGGGCCCTTGGTCGGGGTCCGGTGGAGAGGGAGGGCCCGGACCCCCCTACCCCTGCGGCCTGAGACCCTGGCAAGTGGGGAGCAGGGTAACAAACCCTGAACTGAGGACTAGGCCACTGGGCCGTATTTCCCCTAAGAGGGGGGCAGTGTACTTTGAGGGCTAGACCCAGACGGGCCGAGTTAGGCCCCGGATGGGGGTGGCAACCCCGAGACAGGGGCGAGCCCCCCGACACATGGTGGAGAACGTGGGCACGCGACCCCGCCCCTGGGCAGAGGGGCTGGCAAAGGGGGTTGGTAGACCAGGGCAGAGAGGGCCCCAGAGACAGAGGAGGTGGCTGCGGACCTGGCAACAGCAGTACGACAGGGGCGAGCCCCCCGACAAGGTACAACACACAGATGCAGTGTTATGTGCTTTTCCGTCTCCTGTAGAATGAGGCAGTGGGGGGCATGCATGGTGAAAAGTAGTTTGTGTAGTACACAGGGACATTTTTTATCTTCCTGAGAGAGCTTGATGAAACTTCCAAGGGGTAACTCTTGAATCTTCTCCCTATGGTTTTTGAGGCGTCTGCCTTATTTTGTCCATGGTAGGACACTCTCCCCTGTCACTCCATGATGACTTTGGCAGGCACCATTGCAGTAATCAGGCTAACGGAATATGGGTCTCCAGGACTTCAGGATACTAGCTAGCTGATGCATTTTCTGGGCCTCTGTGATCCTCAAGAGCAAGGTATCCACTATAATCACTGCCACCTGGGGGAGTTAGTGCCATTACTCAGTGCCATTGCCCTGTACTCTGATTCCCACACCTTCCCCCTTAGTGGTCCACAGTCAACCTGGCTGCTTCTGGAGAGCAGTGCTCTCCAGAGGTGTTCCAGAGAATAAGGGAGGGGAATTCTGAGATCTTTTCCTTTTCGTTGTGGCTGTACAATGTGATATCACTGTTTTATCTGTAGCTGAGACGTTTACTGGGTTCCCCCTCCACACCAGCCCTGATGAGGAAGAGAGAAAGAAGAGGACTAAGGAGGACACATTCAGAGATCATGAAAGTTAGTGGTGCAGCAGACCACGAACAGAGGGCCTGGAGGGTGAATATTGCAAACAGCTTGGAGAAGGAACGAGTAGGCAGGAGAAAGACACAGGAGTCCCAGCAGGAAAAGAAAAGATTTTCACTGGGACATACTGGAAATTCTCAGCTAGCAAACAAATGCTGCAGACTCTTGTTAGCCTACAGATCCAACGATCATGGGCTCACTTTTCTTTACACACAGTGGAGACCTTCATTTCAGCAGCTTCCAAAATTCCATCTTGCATCAGTAGCTACATCCCTACCCCTCCGCAACAGGGGACAATAAGGAAAACCACAGTTTCACATACACTGACCTCTGTGTGAAAGCCAGCATTGATTGCCAGGCATGGACATGAATGTTTCCACCATTCTAATTTCAAAGTTCTCTTTGTTAGTTTTATTTTATAATTTCACGTTATTGTTTGGCCATGTTTTGGGTATACAACACATTTTTATTTCTTGGCAGTATAATTAATCTTTGTTACTTCATCACGTTCTGCAGTACTGTCTAGTGGCACTCAAAGCATATACCAGAGTCACAGATTTAATAAGTTGTGTGAAACACCCAATGTAATAATTATAGAAGTATAATTTATATCACATAATTCATCAGTTCAGAATAAGATTAATACAAAGGTATACCAAGCGCCACACAATTCCTGACAGCAGCCAAAAGGTCAGGGCCAGGCAGAGCACAGATGACCACACTGCTATGCCTGATGGTTAAAATGCTCTTTCAAGGCTTCCCTCAGCTACATAGCTCCACACTGACCTCTTCCACTGGTGCTTGTGCCTGGATGTTCAGAGTCAGCCAATAGCTGCTCTCTCTCAGTCTTCCATCCCCCCAGCAATTCTCCCCCCCTCCCCCCGGAGATAGCAGGCAGCTATAATCATAGAGATTTTTTTTCCAATTTAGAGAGTAAACACTGCCAACATCCTTTCCATCTGCCAAAGGCTCATTTAACTGTCACTCTGCACCTGCTGAGCTGGCAATCTTTCTTTGGACCTGTCAAAGTGGACAGCATACACCTTCAAGAGCCGAGGAGCAAAGGGTGGGCTGGGTCCCCTGAAATCACTATTACCATTTGACAATGCTGAAAGGTCAATCTGCCTGTCTGGAAAAAGTGTCCCTGTTGCATCTTTCTGAATAATCCTGTGTTTTTAAAGACAGAAGAATCATGAATGTTCCCTAGCCAGCCCAAATGGATACGAGTGAAGCATCTCCAGAAATCCACAAATGCTTGCATGAATTATAGAAAAGTTAGCCCTTTCTGTCCATGTACTTTGTGCCAAGAAGGAAGGGCTGGAGCCAAAATTGGGATATTTATGTTGAAGTCCACAAACCCATAACTGGAAATCCATCCATGGTGTTCTGCACGTTGCCCAGAGTCACACCGTCCTGCAAACCAGGATACAATTGATGGTTCTACAGACTTGCATGAAAGTGGCCTCCCCACTGCGGATTTTCCAGTCCCAAAATTAGTTCCCACAGATTGGCAGCAACTTGGCACTGCAAGTCCCCATAGTGTTATCACCACTCACTTCTCAACTGTCAATGCAGCTCTCATTCTGGTGTCCCGACACTGGATTGTGGGCGCCAGCTCAGTGCACAGGTGCAGGAACATAGCCTGTCCCATCTGAAAGTTCAGCAAACTTGGCTCATCGACCCAAATCTTGTGATCCCGCTAGCAAAAGCTTGGCTTTCAAGCTCAGAAGCAGCACTCCACCATATGTACCTGCTCTGTGAATGCCCCCAGCAACCCTGAGATTTTTTTTTTTGCCGTGCCCCTTAGTAACCTGCCCTCAAAGAAGTCTTCCTGTCCCCCGTCGTTGCAGTATTTCCTGCAGCTTTGCAAATACCAGAGGATCGTTCATTCTGTATTTGTGACATTAGTCCATGGCTGTGCAGGCTCCATGGTTCTGTCAAAGATGGCCAATACTTACAAGGGCTGTGTGGGTTTGTAAGATTTGTTTTTAAACAACACAAAACTGATGCACTAGAGATGACATCATGGGATGAGAAAGTCGAATGATGGGAACTAGATCTTTTGCCTGGTTCCTCACGTGTGTGCCCCACAGTTAATCATGAAAATTCCCTTAAAGGCACTGTGCCAGAATGCAGTGCATAGTACACAGGGATACCTACCTCTGGGGCACCACATTTTGCATCAATACAAGCTCTCCTGGTGCTGTGCGCACAGCACCAACATAAGCAGCCATGTACGCACAAGGCACATACTAACTGTGGTGTCTTTACTTGGATGGAACCAAAGTTTGTAGTGTAGACATGGCCTAATATTTCCTATGCATGGTCAGCAACAGGGCTAGTTTACACTGTAAAGCATGTTGAGTGACTTGATTAAAACAGGCTAGAGATGTGCAAAGTATCTGGCTTCTCAATGGATTTGGAAACGGCAAAGCTTCGCTTTTACAACCAGGAGACATTTGGGCCTGAACACATTGTAAGATCAGGAATTAAAAATGTAACATGTAACAGCAAATGTAAAATATAAAGTGAACTGGGTACTTTTCATATTTAGAGGCAGTTGCAGAGCACTTACAAGGTTTTCTAGTTCTATATCAACACACATTAAGTACTTGGGATTACACATGTTTTATCATCAGTATTGGGTAAATAGCAGTAATAGTAACTGCTATTACTGATACCTTCCATCCCCAAGTATATAGATGGACTATGATATGCCCTGTGCAGCCATCTGCTGCAAAAAGGAGGAGGTTATCATGCAAGGGCCTCCAATGTGTGTGGCAGGTGTAGAATGGGGAACAGCTGGTCCCTCAGGGTTCCAAGAGGGGTGTAGCAAGTACATTCCCCAGTCACAACATGGAAAAAAAATCTCTAAAATTCTTACCATCCATTTTCACAGATATGAATATGGGCTTGGATTTGATCTCTGGTTCCCGCTGCCAAACACCGGTGGCTGAGCGTACCCAAGGGGTTACTGAGCAGTAATGGTTGCCAAAGTCCTGGTCCTCAGAGCCATGCACCCGCAGCCGGAACTCCATGGGGCTAATCCTCTCTAGGCTGACATCACTGCTCCAGTTCCTCCTGGCCTGGGATACGATCCCTTGCCGATCCAACGAAGCTAGCAAGACAGGGGGTCTGTCTAATGCAAAGGAGTGCACAGCAAACCAGGAGACGTCAAAGGCCAAATCATCTGAGTTGGAAGACAAACAGGATTTGTCAAATACAGTGAGCTCTGAAGGATATTTACAGTGGCACTTAGTCAGCAAAGGGGCATAGTGCAGTGTCTCTGACCATAAAGGAGCATTATACACAAATGACTGAAAATACAGCACTGATTTTTTTTCCTCGGACACTCTGCTCTTTGCGCACTCAGCACTCCAGCACAGACTGAGTAAATCGCATAAGACAGGGGTGGGGAACCTCAGGCCTAGGGGCCAGATGCAGCCCTCGGTTTGCCTGGATCTGGCCCCCGAGGCTCAGGGCCCTCCCCCCAGCATTGGGGAGCCTGCACTGGTGCTCCACTGCCCCCGCTGCCCTACCGCAGGACTGGAACACACAAATCTACTAGGATGGCCCCCCCCCACCTCTAGTGGGCAAGGGGAATGTGGTGAGTGTCTCTCTCCTCAGTCAGGGGCCACATCAGTGAGGGGCACATTTTTGTTTTGTGTGGTTTTTTTCTTTTCACTTGTGTGAAGCCCCTGACAGATTTTTTCCATGGGTGAGTGGCCCCTGACCCAGAAAAGGTTCCCCACTCCTGACAGAAGAACTGCAATGCAGGTGGTATCATGACTGTATGAATTCCAAAACAGTTATCTTCTTTTCTGAACTGACCACACACACAAGGAAGACTATTACTGCAGGAAGCTCTAAAAAGGCTGGAATCAATATTTGGCATTTATCCTGAGAATGCTATCTAATTACAACATGGAGATGGCAGGAGTCCTGGGCACTTACTCTAGTAGGAGTAGCAAAAAGAGAGGAGTCAAGTGTTAGGACACTGGTGGAGAGGGTGGGGCTTTTTTCAGGGGTGGCAGCAAGAGATTGTTAGCAACTGGGAAGGGCTGTCAGTTGGACCATTGGAAGGGTACTGATAGGGTGTCTACTTGGGGACAGAAGTGGCTGGCAGACGGAAGAGTCTGACTGGGGTGCTCTAATACAGAGTAGCATATGTGCATTTAGCAGCTGAAGAGAAATTGGATTAAAATATGGTCAACACACAGGCTTAGCAACTAAGGGAGAGAGGATACATTGTGCAAGTAATTGTTGGGAGGATAAGGGAGTCATGAAGTCGGGTTGGGGTACAACTATAGGAAGGTTATGGATAGTTGGGAGAGGAGCAGGGTTACTGTAGATTTTTCGATTTTGTCTTTTCCCCCACAATCTTAAATTGAAATCTCAAATTTTATTTCACAACGGAGTTTTTGCCAAGCAAGCCGTGTAGCTGGGCAAGACATCTGTATCTCCCACATGATTAAACTCAAGCACAAGGGCTGAGGAGTAGAATGCTAGAAGTTTGCTAGTGGGCAACGGTTTTCAAACAATGTCGTTGACTTTGACTCATTCCTCATGCTTGCAGAGCAGCCAGAAGTCTCTCCTCTAAAATGACAGCCTCCCAATGGTAGTTAGTGTGCTCAACATAAAAAGAGAGGTTTTCAGGTACTACAGTGATGGATATGTTAGACTCGCTCTTAAAAACTTACGATATCACAAAATATTTGCCTTCATAACCTGCCCATGATCTAGCCCATGTTTCTTCCACAGTTTTACTTTAATTATGTGTCATCAGGGACTATGTCTTGCACATGTCGTTCTTGCAAGGAGATAATCTACCAAGTGACTTTGTAGTGACTTCCACCTCTAACACTGGTTGACAGGTAGTCAGAGTCCATCAGTACAACCCTCCCTTTCTGTGCTCATACAAGATCATACTGATCCAGTTAGCAGTTCCGTACTTTTAACCCTATTAGGCTGGAAGCTGAGGATGCAGTTTAATCACTTCAACAACCTCTATGTTAATGGCCCAGCAGGTTAGAAAACCAGCATGGCTGCTATTATGTGAGTAATACAGAGAAAGCTCCTAAAGAAAGAGGCTATAAAAAACCATGATTGAACACAAGTTTGCTTAAAGCCCCTGCTGAAGATGGATCCCATCTGACAGCAATAACTAGATAGTCTCAATCTGTGTACAGGGATGATAGGAGTGGGATAGATTATCCTCTACCTGACCTATCCACAATGTCAGAAAGATAAGCAGGAGGGGGTCTAATGCCATTTCCTTGATCACCAATGTCAGGGACTTTACCCTGAGGTGTGCTAGCCTGTGTGCTCTAGACAATACACAGCACACATACAATACTCTTCTTATCTAAACAATCAATAGCCCACACTGTCAGAGGAAAACGGCGTGAATTCTTCTTACCACACAAATGCCTCAGACGCAGTGTTGGCTAGCATGGCTTTGAGTGCAATGTGCTGGCTAGCATGGCTTTGAGTGCAATGAGTAGGGATGTTAAATAATGGTTAATTAGCTATTTGAGTAGTTGATGAAATTCCTCTCAACTACTCGACTAGTCAATAAGAGGGGGTGCTAGCTACCCCTGCTGTGGCTCTGAAGTTTAAAGGTAGTAAGAGCCACCAGGCTCTTACTACATTTAATGTTCAGAGCCAAAGTGGAGTTAACTCCCAGGGCCAGTGCAAGCTGGAACTGAACAATCCCGGCTTGTGCTGGCTCTGGGACCACTGCAGCTCTGCCTCCCCTGCCCTGCCCCGCCCCCACATCGTGGAGATGGTGTTGGGAGGAACCAGCTTTTAAGCCTGCCTCCCCCCAAGCATGGGCTCCTGCTTCCCCTCTCCTGCTGCCTCTGATATAGAGGCAGCAGGGATGAAGGGAAGTGAGTTTTTAAGTAGTCACTTGACTATTCGCTTACATCCCTACAGGTTGAACCTCTCTAATCCAGAACTCTCTTGTCCAGAAACATCAATCGTCCAGAATGATTTTAGTTAGCCAGATATCCACTTTTCATGGGTGTGGCCAAGTTTCCTGTGGTCCCATAACATTTGTTTAATATGATTAATTGCCCTGGAAGAACCCATAAGCTGGGTTGAAATAAGTAGCAGGAGCAGATAAATGCTATGGAATAAAATGTCCCAGAAACAAGGGAAAGGCAGCAATAATGGCACACTATATAAGCAACACAGACACTGGCATCTCCAATAGTTCATTCACACAGTGAATTCAATATACTGATTGCAATAGTGTCGAATACCAGAAGATGGCCAGGAACTCCATAAAAGTCCCCGGCATGTATTGCAGAAGGAAAACATTACCCAACCCAAATTGGGGATTAGTTTATGCTCTGAAGCACGATTGTTGGCAGATAGTCCTTGTAGATTACTTCTACTTCCTGTAACTGTAGAAGCTACTTGTAGTTTCTCAGGGTAGCCTCTTGGCTCCCCTGAAATGAAATGCAAAATTCACATTTGTATCAATAGGGTGAGGATTTCACCCTCTGTCTTGCCTGCTCCCTTCACCACCAGTGCGCCCCTCATTCTGCACCTGAAGTGACCACATTTAGGGTAAGAGTTGCATCTCCACAGCCCAGTCAGTTCTTGACCTCTGCAAAGACTACTAAAAAGGGAGCCTGTTAATTTCAAAAGTGGTAACGGGCACTGGTCTACAAGTAGCCAAACTGAGAAGCACCCACTCATTTCAAAGATCATTAAGACAGCCATCTGCTTTTTTATTTTTGCCTCCACCAAGCTGGGTTGAGTTTGAAACTGAGACCCAAGATAACACGTCCACATATCCTGCACCCAGTCCCTAAAGACATACCCATAAATTCCTCTTACCTCCACATACAGACAAGCGTGATCCAGTTATATGGTATGAACACCTGGACATTCTCCAGGATAAATTATATAAAAAAATGACATAGCTCTGACTCACTGCCTTCCCCCCAATCTCACATGGTTACTCTTGCTGAATAAGATTTAAACAAACTCATTCTTTTACCATCTCAGGCAAGTTCATATCCTTGAAGAATTGTTTTCTGTTTAAAAATATACTGTTAATTTGAGGGTCTCTTTTTTCTTCCATGCAGAGATAATGAGCTGAAAGTTACAAGATCTTACCGTCATTTTGAGAATGTGAGATCTATCTTTTGCAATTACACCATGACATAATAGTATTATGCCAACATATCTTATTAATCAGTATACACAGTGCGCAATTAGTGACTCGGTACTGACACACACAGAGAATCAGAGGGCGAGTTTGGCTGCCTGCGAGATTTCCTTGTTACTATATCCCTTGAAGGGGCTCTGTGCCAAAGTCATTTGCTTTATTCCTAAGTTCTGTGTGATTTTTCACATTACAAAATATTGAGCAATTTAGCAACAGCAGGACATGAATTTGCTCTCTAAAGATTAGTGGCAAATATGTCCAGCTGCTCCCAGGATCTAATAAATATGCTGTTTAATTGAAATATTTGGTTATACACTGGCATCCCCAAAAGCAAGAAAATCTTTCTTCCGTTCTTATGTCATTTGTTCATATTTACTATCAATTTTAATTAGGGAACAAAAAGCATCTCCATTTTTGGATCAATGGAACAGATTATCATCACCCCAAATTCACTGTCATTCTTCCCACATCTACCATCCAGACTTATAATAGTTGATATCCGGCACCAGGAAGAAAGAAGGTAAAAGCTCCCTGAGATATTATGCAGGAGAAATATAACACCTCAGAGGCAAATCCAGGAGGCTGCTGATCCCTCTGGGAGACGAAACTCTCAGGTCCTTTTTATAGGTCTACTGATGTGGGGGTGTCCTGCTTTCTCTCTCCAGGCTGGCTAGAATAATCAACATGTAAGGCACATCTTTATGCATATTCCAATTTGACACACAGGACTAAGCTGTCTGGGTTTTAAGCTACTTTCCTGGCCAATCAGTTCTCAGGACAGTGAATCCTATTCCTAAGCTCAACTACTAGGCACCATGCACTTCCACTTGATAGAATGGAGCTCTTTTAGCATCTTGTGATTGTGCTGGATCGCAATTTTGAAACCCTTTTTGTTTACTAAATTCAAATGAGGTTGAATAGAGCTTCCTAGAGAGTTGAGAGTACCACTTCAAGACAGAGAAACAAGCTGCCTTTGTTAATTTTCCAGGCCACTCACTAGGTCTTTCTGAAGCACATAAAACTACTCTTTCAAGGAGAGGCCATAACACTCTCAAGTACCTGAGAACACAGGCCCACGAAGGAGTCATTTGGGAGACATCGGTTATCTGGTAAGATTGAGAATTTGTACAGAACTAATAGAAGAGACATCACTGTTGGGGCACGGCAGGCACTACCTTACAGAAAGTAATAAAAAAAAATCTTTCATTTGAATTCAGTGCACCAACCACAGCTATTAAACTCACAGAATCGCTCTCCCAAATGAAGACTCTAAAAGGGACAGATGTTCCAGTCTCCCAGCTCTCCACAATATACGCTCCATGAGAGGGATCAAAGCAGTTGCAGTACTTCTTTAAATAGTATTGCAACCAGAGCACAGCACTGAGGGGCATATCCACAAGTGCCTTTAATGACGACTAAGCTTTCAGCTAGTTAAGAGAAGTGACACTGCCCCAGGTAAGTCTGACTTAGAACCAGTAGTATTATAATTCTCTAATTGAGCCTGGGTGTTACCAAAGGAGGACAGACTGACAGATAAAGTGAAAGGCACCAGCTTCTCTCAGCACGGCAAGTATTTCAAAATCTTCCTGTAAGTACTTTGCACAGGTGGCTATGAGAATTCAGGACTATGTGAATAGATCACCTCTGATGTTTCTCTCCTTTACCCAGCGAAATATAAACATCTATTAGAATTGTACACATAATGAAAGAGAGCTGCAAAGCTCAAATAAAAATAGTTCAGCACAAATCTGGGCTTAACGCCCACATCAACATGCCTGCCCCCTTAAAAAAAATCCTCTGAAATCCACTGGCCCTTCTGTGTTCATAAGAGATAACATAGAACGAACAATTCTGCAACCTCAGAGACTAAAACAGCAAGTATTTATGATTGAGAACTGATTTCTATGATATCCCAGTAGATACTGGTTGGCTATGGGTGATGTGCATGTTAAACTGACAGCTGGTGGAGTGGTGATGTCTGTTCCACTTTCATTTAAATTCCCACATCATGGGGAGCAGAGGAAGACCTGTACTATGTTTTCCATTTATCTCAAGGAAACTCAAACTCTCCCCCTCGTCAACCCAGGGAATACATCAACTCTTGCTACATGTACTTAATGCTGGTTTTCCCCAGATTGCATGTTAGTTCTAATTTGGAAGGCATCCCCACTAGTTTGGAGGGCATCCCCATTTCACAGTCTATGCATCTCTGCTAAGACTAGGTTATTAATTCCAGTTATTAATTTTGCAATATGCATATATCTCCCTAAAGACAGGACAGACCACCTATAGGCCAAAATGTATTAGACTCCCATCCACAAGTCCATCAGAGGCCTGAAGAGGCACCGGTTTCTCAAACATTTCTGAAAGGCCCAGATGTGGCTTTTCCATGATGCAGATGGGGATTGGTTTGAATCCCAAAAGAGATATGCACAGACCACTGACTAAGTCACTTGGACACCTGTCTCAATTCCACACTGAGTCATTCCCTACTGTACAAGTTGAATACAGATCTGTTTGCCCAGTTGTTAAAGACATAAGGAACTCTGGAAACAGAGCATTGCCAAGTACAACGAGACGACTCCCAAAAGTAGGATCGGTTACAAAGATCTTCAGTGTTCAGATACTAGACATTCTGCACTGATTGCTCCCGGTGACAAGGACATTTCTAGTTCTCAGCACTGCCACCTACCCAATAAGCATCGCAACCTGCAACGAGACTGCACTGTTCATAGCTTGGCCATAGAGAAGAGGTCACTAAAACTCTGCTCTCTACCATCCATGTCTGGATGCCTCTAATCTCCTATTCTCCATGTACCCCCCAAACAATCATAAATTAAACTTCACTACAACAGACATGGACTGGCCTCCTTATTGGAAATCTCAGGGGCATGATGGATTGAAAATGAGCCATGGAGACTATAGTGTTCACTGACACCTAGGGCTGCTGCATAGCACAGTAAGGACAGATGGGGCACAAAAAGAACACAATTAAATTGCTAAAGGCCATGCCCATTCTCCAGAGCTATCAATCTTGTCAACATGAAAGTTTGTTCAACTTTCTCCCCCATCAATCACTTCAAATAAATCACTCAAACCAGGCATCCACAATTCCCACTACAGTTTTCACTCATTTTTGCAGGCACCACAGAGCAGTAATTCAGCAGACTGCTTCCCCACTGCATTTGCTTCTTTATTCATAAATACCTGGCTAGCCTGGAACTTTATAAGGTGACAGGGTCTTGATCGGGGGTGGGCAATAAATGGCCCATGAGCCAAATGTGGTTCACCACTGGTGGGCCACCAGATGCTTTATTTACGGGCACTCCCAGAGGTATGGCCATTTGCAGATCTCATTGGCTGCAGTTTGCTGTTTCTGGTCAATGGGAGCTGTGTCAAGCAGTGGTTCAGCCCGTGCCACTTTCCGCAGCTCCCATTGGCAAGGAACAGTGAACCACAGCCACTGAGCGCTATGAGAAGCCATACATACTGCAGACACTCAGGTAAATAAAGCATCTGGTGGCCTGCCATGGCAAACCCTGTACAGCTGATGGGAAACTTATTGCCTGTCTCTGGGATTGACTAGCTTTTGGAATGCCATGTCCCATACTTCTCAACTAATAAATTTATTCTTCATTTTGGAGAAGCATCATGCTTACAGAGATCATGGGTATCACATGCCAGTTTAGATAACAAATAGGAACAAATGAAAGAGAAAAGAAACCAAGCAAAACCTTCACCAAAAACTGCACTAAACCTGTTTTTTTAACCTGTCTGAGTTCTCAAAGCAGATATAAATAGTTTAAAGCCACTCTCATAGTATTTTTGCCCCAAACCAGAGGAGCCAAGCTAGTGCCAAGCAAACATCTGAATTCGGGATGCTTCTCTGAACCTTGCCGCTTTTCTAGGGATGCGTTCAGTATATACTTCCTGCCACATTAGTAACGAAGAGAGTACATTATTTCTTGGCATTTCATACAAAAGCTCCTGAACCAGAAGCTGGCTCATCATTAAAGAGATCAGTAATGAGAGAGGGTCTTTATCATCTTGGCTAAACTTTATATCTTGTTTTTACAATTTGAAAGTAAGTTTAGTGTTGGGCAAAAGGTGCTAAATTGACATGTGGAGATTTAATGACTATCCACAGAAGAGAGAGTTTTTCCCACACTGCCCTGCTAACAAACCTCAATCCTAAGGGTGTCTGGGCCCAAAGCCTATTTGATCTTTTGACTTTTTGCTGAGACTGCCAGCAATGGGGTCAGTTAGGGCAAACAGAAATGGAGGTTTGTGATGAGGACATCCCTTCACTAGGATATGAAATGAGACCCTACCAGTTTGTTTTATATTTACACAGATAACAGTTTGGCCTATATCTTCCATATCCTCCATTGCTTTGCTTAGCATCGTGGGGCTTTGTGGTGTTTCTTGATTTCTAGAACTATTTAAATAGTATCCCCGTTGCTAGTGTTGTACGGGTCAGTGAAGGTAATTGAATTGTTTCCAAAAACAAAAACAAAATGAAGATCAATAAGGTACCTGGCTCGAGTGCCGCTCCTTCGATGGTGACAATGCAGAGCAGATCCGCCAGCTCACCCTGGTAAATCGTCGGGTAGTCCGAATGCACTGAGACATTAAACACGGGACCTAAAAGATAACAATTTAACATTTATTCAGACAGCAGATTAGTCATGTGACATCACTTACACATTTTTTAGGACATTGAATTTCCTGTTCGTCATCAGTATAAAGTACCAATTACCAGCTCTGAAATCCTCTATTGATTCAGCTACAGTATGGCTGCAGGAGTTTACCCCACACTGTTCTCTGCCAACTTGTCTCCCGCCTGTCCTAGAGGCTGCCCCCTATTGAGCCCAAAAATGAATTTGGTGTCCTTCATCTGTTGGGTCTTGATCCTCTTCCAGTTAGATTGCAAGAGCCCCTGACGTGTGAGATATGAGCATTTCTGTTAGGAACTGAAGAAAGACCAACTTACCTCTCAGAGCACATACATTTTTATTATATGGCCACAATTCCATATGGTTATTATAAGGGAAGGGTCCTGGCTCTAACATACATGATTTCTTCTATGATCGTAGGCAAGTCAAAACATGTGTGTCAGAATTCCTTCAGCTGCACAATGATGGTAATATGGTTATACCCTCACTGGACAGTAGTGAGGTGCTTAGCTACTACCGAGATGTGCACCACACACTTCTGACCAATACGAAATCCATGGTGCAAGATTAATGACAGAGTCATGGCACTTCACATTACTAGTACTCTACCTCTTTTGTAAGCAGAAGACAGAAGGACAAATATCTGACTATCCCATAATATGAGTCCTCCATTAAAAAAAGGGTTCGCCTAACAAAGAGATGAGAAACCAGACAGTATAGTCTACAGTTCTTTCCATTATCATCTGTGGTCTAGTCCCTACTTTAAATCCAACAATCTTCATAACTCTTGAAGACTCCCATCAGGTTTTGAACGGGAAACCTCTTAGGAAGATCCAAGTTTCTGCAAAAAGCTGTATTAGGAACTACGTAGATTGTGCTTTTTCTGCTAGTCACTACTGCACCAATGCTCTGTGGTGGAATTAGGGCATCGTGCCACTGGCAGTGTAGCTTTTTGGTTAATTTACTGAATACCACAGGGGCTGATTATTGGTAGTCCGCAGAGATTACAAAACACTTATTACAAGAGCCAAAATTCCAATGAACATGAAGCAACGACTTTGAGGCTTCCTAAATTCCCTCCCCCCCCCCACCCCCCCCCCCGCCTTCATTTCAAATGGGTATAATTTTCTTTACTTTCTGTTAAACTATAGTGCAGTTAACTTTCCCATCATTCCTCTACCCCGGCCCCCCAAAATGGCTGCATTTCAGCAGTGATGAAGCAACATCAACTTAAGTAAATTTATGAAACCACTTTCTCATAAAAGGCATTATATAAAAGTGTAAACGTCCCTGAAAACATGGAGAGACATGAACAGCAATGAAGCATTAGAAGTTGTATGAACTATCAGTTGAGACTTAAATAGTCTTATAGACCATATTTTTACAGAAATAAGAGACCCAAAATATTATGACATTCAAATACTATGGTGATGGGTGCCCTACAAATGCATTATATTACACACACATTTAAAAAGTTAACATGTTGAACCCCTCCTGCCCCACCCCTGTAAGAAAAAAGAAAGGACTATTAGCATGACCTCTTCTTCAGACTCTGTCCAAGATCCTTCTATGAAAATACAAGTTGTTTCCATTAGAGATGTTATCTTTTTAATAAAACAAATTAAGTTATTTCCTGTCAGTCTTCAGTGAGCTATGCAGCTAGAAACTAAAGATGCTAATGCACTTGTTACAAAATGAATGTTAAGTTCCATGTTCAGGTCAGCATCCCTTCGTTTGATTTTACTTAGATGTATACAACATCAAAGTCTCAGTGTATGAGATTGCTATGTTTGCTTTCATCTGAAGAAGTGAGCTGTGCCCACGAAAATTCATGAAGCCATCTACATCTTTGGTTAGTCTCTAAGGCAGGGGTGGGCAAAAGGGCCTCCATGGGCCGAATTCAGCCCTCCGAGTGGGTTGATCCAGCCCGTGGAGGCCCTGCTGCTCCCCCGCCCCCAAGACATTTGGGCCTGGGGGCAGGAGAGTGCAAGCAACTTCCTCCTGCCCTGTGAAGAGCACACTGCACTTCAAAGTGCTACGAACTCCTCACAGGACAGGAGGAGACATCACGCACTCCCCCACCCCCAAGCCCTGATTGGCCAGGGGCAGGAGGAGCGCGTGAAATTTCCTCCTCCCTTCGCCCCTCCCCCTGCCCTGCGAGGATCGCACAGCACTTCAAAGTGCTGTACATTCGCGCAGGGCGGGGGCAGGGCAAAGGAAGCTTTGTGCAGCTGCCCTGCCCCCAGGCCTGATCGGCCTGGGGAGCGCCCAAAGCCTCCTCCCGCCTTGCAAGGAGCACATGGCACTATGAATTGCTGCACGCTCCTCGCAGGGCAGGGGTAGGGCAGGAGGAGGCTTCAGGTGCACCCCCCGCCCCCAGGCCAATCATGGTCTGGGTGCGGAGGAGCTACATGAAGCTTCCTTCGCCCTGCCCCGGCCCTGTGAGGAGTTCATTGCACTTTGAAATGCAGCATGATCTTCACAGGGCAGGAGGAAGTTTCACATGCTCCCCTGCCCCCAGGCTCCAATTGGCTTGGGGGCGGGGGAAGCGCCCGAAGCCTCCTCCTGCCCTACCCCCATGTGAGGAGCACGGGGCAGGGCACAGCACAAGTGGCATGGGTGCCTAGTGGGAAGGAAGGAGGCACTCCCCCACTCCCAGACCAATCATGGTCTGTGGGTGGGGTAGCCCAGATGCATCCTCGCCCCACCCATTCTGGTTTAAGACCCGGCCAAAAATTATTGCCCACTGCTGCTTTAAGGAGCTATAGGACTATTAGTTGTTTTTTATGTTTGCTACAGTGTCACTGCCCTCCCAGAGTCAAATGTGCTGCAGTGTAGACTGAACGTGAACGGCTCCATAATAATTGACTCCTGTTTTATATGCACCCCATTTTACAATAAATAACTACAGGATTTTGGCATCAGCAAGTGGACTCCCACATCAGGTCATGTGGGAATCACTATTTCCACAGATTTTGCTATTATATTGGAAGGGAGAAGAGAATCAAGCTTGCATTCTTGTTACATTCTTCCCTAGAGACCATCAGACAGAGTGAGAGATAAGAACTGTCTGATCCTTGTCAATGTCACTTTGCCCTGCTGAGTGTTTCAGAAGCACAGCCTTGATACTCTGTGTAGGTGAAAGGGAGACTTATCAACTTGGAACATCACATGCTGTGACTTGTCATTTCTGCAGGTCACATCTGTATATTAAAGATGAGGTCATCTGGGATCCACACCATTTTATGAACATAGATTGCAGCTATCAAGTTACTAGTGCAGCTTCTCAGCTGGACAGAATCTGAGCATCTTTATCATAAAATAACTTTAAAGCAGGAGTTTAAAAGCGCTGAGGTCATAATCAGATAAACATTTTTAATCTCTTTTTTTTTCTGCTTTCAGACCAGGAGCTTGTCACCAGCATGCCCAAGTTTCTAGGGCAATACCGAAGCAACAAATAGATCTTCTTCTTCTCTACACCCATCATTTAATGATCCCATGTTCCTGTGGGTAAGCCACAGTAACCAGAGGGAAATCATTAGTCCCCTTCCAGAGTACACAACTCCTGCAAATAATCTCCACTCTGGGGAAAACTGTCCCTGGAGCACAAAAAGTTTTGGGAGAGGGGAAAGAAGAATACTACCATCCTATATTAAAAGTGCTGGACTTCAACGGATAGCCCTGAAACATTTCAGGGGCCACCATCTTCTCCCTTCATCCAACAGAATAAAAAAACACTTGGGGTTGCTTCTGTTAAACACTCTTAAGTAAGTTTTGGTGTAATAAAAAACTACTAGGTTCACAATCCTGGAAACTATTCACACAATTACGGTCTCAAGGTGGAGACAAGTGTGTCAGTGAGGCATCATCCCACTGCTTACACCAATGTGCCTCACCCCTGGCTTGAGGAGACACCTTCAGGGATAAGCTCATGGCTCACTCAATTCTTTGTCCTTCTGCAGAAGTTGCAAGTCCCTGGGGGCAATCAGTGCTCATGGTCACAGTTGTTTGTGATGTGGGCACTTAACTGGGAATTGGATGCAGATGGCCAACCGTATTTCACATAGGCCTTGCATACACCATCAAAAGGTACCAAGTTTTGGTCACCTACCAAACAGGGGCAGGATTTGTATCAGTGGCCTAGATATGAAGTGCTCGCTAACTCCCTACCAGTCTGCTGTAGCCACCAACTCTCCAGTCCTTTTTTATTTAAAAAGCAGTTGAAGGCCAAATACTACTGCCCTGATTTATGTTTCCCTGTTTAAATCAGTTGCCCTGAGTTCA